AAAAGAAAATGTACTGTATGATTCCATTTATATAAAGTTTAAAAACAAGAAAAAAATTACCTGATGCTAGAAAGTCAAAACAGAGGTTCAACTAGGAGCAGGTGAGTAACTGGAAGGGGATCTGAGGGGCTCCTGGAATCCTGGCAATGCTCTGTTTCCTGACATGAGTGTTGGTTATGTATCATTTGTTTTTTGCAAATTCATTCAGCAGTACGTTTTTGATGTTTACATGGAAAACACTATCACCACATATTTATGAGGTATGAATTATTTGTCTGAGTCAATTCACTCATTCATTCATGCAGTCAACACAAAATATATGCACATATTATATGTCAGTCACCATGTAAGATGCTGAAGATCTACAAATAAATTTGTTTCTCGTGGCTCCTGTCCATGAGGTCAAAGTCCAGAAAGGGAGATGGACAGGAAAACTACAATGCAAAGTGATTAATGGGTTGGTGATGTTTGGAGGGATCTCTGGAGGTACACAGGAGAGAGACATGAGTGGTACACTGAAAAGCTACACACAGAACGGTGACATGTGACCTTGGAACTCCCCCACCCCATGGAATGCAGAGATATTTACCCACTCCACTGTCCTGGATTGTCATAAAAATATAGCCAAAGAGAAAAGGGAATTCCAAGCAGATAGGACAATATATGTATAGGCACAGATTTTGAAAGCCATTTTAAACTCAGAGAAAAGAGAGTGTTTGCTGTGGCTGGACTCCAGGTAGCACTGAGAAGAATGACAGAAGATGAAACTATTAGGCCAACTAAGGTTTGATTGTGATGTTTGTATGCCTTCTACTCAGTGTGGATTCTATACCACGAAGAGCCAAAGAACATTGTCTAGCTGGTTTCCAAGGAAGCCCTCTCACACACGCGCACACACCAATGCCTTTGTTAGTCTCCTCCCACAATGAATCTGGTTTAGTCCTTTCAAATCTGAATGTGGCTAATATGGCACAGTGTGACTTCTGAGGTCACCATAGTGTCTGCCTTGACAACTTATGAGGCTTGTTCCAAGGAAAGCCAGTTGTCATTTAAGAAGTACAACTATCTTGAGTCTGCCATGTTGTGAGAGAGGCAGCATTGAGAGAGACCATGTGCAGAGAGCTGTTCCAGACATCCTGGGCATCAACCCAGTTGAACCTTCAGATGATTCCAGCACCATCTAATATTTGACTGCAACTGCATGAGAAACTGCAATAGAGAACAGACCAGCTGTGTGCTAGGCTGAGCAAGGTCAACATATAGGACTATAAAAGAGGAAAACAGGTGGGGTTTTTTTTATTGTTATTTGTTTTCTTTTTGTTTTGCTTTGAACTGGTACATTTTGGGGTACTTCATTACATGGTACTAGATAAACTGGAACAGACATCTTGGAATAGCAGTGGGACACAAAGAATTTGGGTTTGTTTTGGGGAACAAAGTCTGGAGGCATCATAGAGAATGGTTTGAAAAAGGCAGAGGCTAAAGGTACTGAGATGGGAGGAGACCTTTACAGGAGGATAAGCAGATATCGATGGAAGTAGGAAAGACTGACTGGAATCTATAGATATTTCTGAGGTAGAATTGACAGAATGTAAAGAATAAATAAATGTGTGGTGGCAAGAAAAGAAAGACTGAAAGTCAGATTTTTTTCCCAAAAGGAAGAGGTGGTGGGTCGTGTCCTCAATAGAAAGAAAGGCCTATAAATTAGGGTACATAATGAAATGTGTATAGAGGGTGAGGGGTTTACAAGGAAATATCGGTAAAGATGACAAAAGAGTTGGAAAGTTTGATCTAGGACACAGGGAGATTGGGTCAACCCACATGTACATTACATATACACATAGTTAACATGTATGATGGTAGAGATCTCAGAAATGATCTCACTAATACAAAGTGTGCAGGATAAGAGGAGGGGACAAATGGTAGAATTCAGAAAAGAGAACTCAGTGGTCAGGAAAGTTTTCAGTTTGTGCAAAGGCAACTGAAAAGAGTAATAGAAAAAGAAAGAGAAGACTCATGTCTTAGAAACAGAGGGACAAGAGAAGGTTAAGAAGTATAAGGCTTTCATTGTCAGAAGCTATTGTGAGATCAAATAAGATGAGACTGTGGTTCTGACAATTAGAAAGTCATTAAGACTCTCTATGAAACTACTTTCAATAATCTGGCTTTGATCAGAGTAGTTTAAGAAGCTGATTGGAGGCTTAAAAAACAGACTATACATATAAATTACTCTTCAGAGATATTTGGGGTTAAGATAAAGGATGAATAAAGATAAGTTTGTTTCTCTGAGCATGAAGGTAGGTTAAGGGGAAGGAGGAGCATAAGGGCAGGCTTGTTAGCATGAGGTCTCTGAATCAATGACAGGAGAAGATACAGAGGTCTCTAGAGCAAACTAGTTTATAGGCTTCTGCTTTCCAAGTGTGCTTACAGAATAGGAGCTCAGGGAATCTACTTAAAAATGCAGAATCTCAGGCCACACCTCAATGGTAGTGAGTCAGAATGCATATTTTTAATAAGATCCCAGGTAACTAACATGCACATTAAATTAATATGCACTGGGGTAGGTCAAAACAGAAATATGGAGGAAGGAAGAAAGACACAGAATATATGCAGACATTATGGCACTTTGGCCATTTTTTGTTCAATCACTCAGACATATTTTGATTTTTTTTTTCTGAAATTTAATAAGATACATTTGGTGCTCTCAAATTTGGGGGTATACGAAAAATTAAGTTTTGTGCTATGAGAAATTATCTCTAGTGAAATTAGAGGAAAAAGTTCTCTCTGTTCAGCTTTCCTCTAGGTAGGATTACCTACAGTGGGGTTTGGGATATTGTCACTGCTTGAGCCTTACTCTCAAATATTCTGCTTTATTTATTAAAAAGTTTTTAACAATTCCTTATGTGATTATTATGCAGCCAGGATTGATGATTATTAGAGTTAATATAAGGTAACCTTGACTGTATATTAGAATCGCCTGGGAGAGTTTGAAAGCTATCAGATACCTGAGTCCCACCCCAAATGATTTTGATTCAATCAGACTGAGATGAGCCTTAAAAATGACCTATTGATGTTGTCCCTAGTCCCAGCCCTTTAAGGTATTCATTTCCTTTACTTTAACAGTTCTCAGCCTTAGCTGCACAAATTATCTAGGGAACTTCAAGAACGACCAATTTCTAGGCACTTCTGTCAAAAAAGCCAGGTGAAAGGAGGTACATTTCCCTCTTTTTCCAACTAAACTCTCATAGCATTTACAATCTGAGCTATTCAATATTAGGTGCAGAACAGGCTGAACTAAGTTTCTACAGGGCAGGCTGAACAAACGTTAGCTGCAGGATAACCCATGCACTCAAACCCCCTCTGTCTGGTTCTTTATCACCTGTTTGCCTCAAGTCTGAACATTCAACCCCACTGAAGGATGAACACTCGACCCCCACCAGTCTGGTGCAACAGAAACCCACATCTGATCCCTACCCCATCTGCCTGAAGGCAGAAGATGACACCCTTAGCAACTACTGTGTGATCCAATCATTGTACACCCACAAGGCAGCTTGCGGACCCAGAGACCCCATTAGATTCTGGCTATAAAAACTCCCTCCTGCCTGGCCCCTCTCTCTTACTGCCTCTGTCTCCCTCTCTTGCTTTCGTTCTCCCTTGCTCTCTCTTTCTTCTCTCTCTCTCTTTTTCTCCTCTTTTGCACTGCTGCAATAAAGATCTGTTGGTGGCTCCCAGTGTTGTGGTCACTTTTCTTTCATCCAACGTAGCACTTATTCAGTCATCAACAACAGCAACCAATAGTGTTTGTTAAGCACTTACTAAGTACATAGGATAGTGCCACACTATTCTTTATTTGTAAAATGTGTATATATCTCGTCCTCCCAGCAAGACAGTCTTTTTGATAGAAGCAATATATTTATACTTCCTTTTTGTTCCCAGTTCCTACTATAAAACGTTAGTCCTACTCTTCAGTATTTTACCACATCATATATTTAGGTTATAATTAAATAAAAGAGCAATAGCAAAGTCAAAGTATCTGGTTGGGAATAAGTAGGATTTTGGAATGTGATAATGTTTTTATTTCTTGGGAAACATGAAAGTCTGAAGTTTTCCTCAAGAGCCACAACATATTTTAAAATGCCCCCGCCCCCCGCCCCCGGAATTTTGCGGCCTGGAAACCACAACAGAATCATCTGGTTATTAGTGCAGATTACTGGGTTCCATTTTAGACCTAATATATCAGAATCCCTGTGCATGGGTTCTAGAAATCTATATTTTAAATAACTATCCCAGACAATACTAATTGCAATGTAAAATCTGCACACAGCTGATGAGTTGAAACAAGAATTAGTGTGAATAGACTGCTTACTACAAGTTCAATATTTGATGAGCACTCACCTTGAGCCGGCACAACGTGGGCACCTGACCACACTGAACTGGAGGAAGACTTTACCCTGGAAGGGCCAACAGGGTCAATTAGTGTACTGGGTGTCTTGCCAATAATCATAATGTAAAGCAATAAACTTAACGTGCTAGGCTTTTCATAGTCCACATCTTCTACCTCTCACATCAACCAGGCAGGACAGGCGTAAATTACTGTCCCATCTTTACCAAGGGTGAGGGTGAGGCTCTGAGCGTTTGCTTGGGATAGCACTACTGATGAGCCAAGATTCCAACCCCAGAACTAACGCTTTTCTAGAGACCAATTTCTACTTTCATCCTGTTTTGGAGAATTGTTTCAGATGCTCGAACACCTCTAATGAGCAGTCACAGGTCTGTGGTTTTAGTGCAGCGGCTGCGAGTTTTTGTGACAGTAGCGAATCCCCTTTTGAGTTCTTGGGTCTCCCAGGAAGCATCGACGGCGTGGAGACTTCACTTCCCGGCAGGCCCCGCGGCCGCTGATCTCGCGAGGCTTTCGTGGCACTTTCCCTTTGCTCCTCTCTGGCGGAACGACCCGTCCCGCCCCGCGTAAGGGCGCGCGGGATGCTGGGATATGTAGTCTGGCCGGGACTTGGACGCCCCCTCGGATGAATGGGGCCTGGGCTGACTGAGAACTACAGCTCCTCGGCTGGCAGCGTGGGTGGCGGCCTCAGGGGAAGAGGGAACCGCCTCGGCCCCGGGCAAGAGCCGCGCTCCCGGACCGCGGGCATGTCCATTGCCGCCTTCCTGGGGTAGCAGCGTAGGCGGGCGCCTCCTCCGCGCTCGCTCCCCTGCCCCCGCACCGGCCATGCGCCCGGCCTTCGCGGTGGGCCTGGTATTCGCAGGCTGCTGCAGTAACGTGATCTTCCTAGAGCTGCTGGCCCGGTGAGTGACCCTCTCGGGCCGCACCCGGGCTCCCGGGGCTGGTCGGAGGAGAGGCGTCTCTGCGCGCCGCCCGGGGCCGCATCTCTGCCCAGTCCCCACCCCGCCTTGAGCGGTGCCCGGGCGGGAATGCATGAGCCCGGTCCCGCGTGGGCAGCCTGGGACCCCTTTGGACCCACTACTCTGCCCCTAGTCCTGCACACCGCCGGCTATCCCGCCTAATAAAGTCTGACAGCATCCCCGTGAGGGGACGGACACTGAGGGTGTTTCAGTCGTCACCCAGTTTCCGCACCCTGGGGGATGGAAGCCTGCGGAGTTTTTTAAGTGACTGGTCCAAGATGGGCAGGGAGCTGGTTCCTTCGTCCAGCCACTCTCTCCCCTACTTCCCCTTCAGCTCCAGCTCATTTCTTCGCCCAGTCAATGGCATATCCCGAGTTGAGCAAAGCGTTCTGGTTTTGTACACACCGCATAGTTTCATCTTTATTATTGGCCCCAGAGTTGCCTGTGGCTATTTTGCCCAAACATACATCTCAGTGATGTAGAACAGATAATTATTATGTGGAAGATCAGTCCAAGTGACCTGAGAGAGCATTTCTAGCTTTATGCCATCACAGGTTTTAAATTGGGAAGCATGCATTTTGAAATGTATAAAATGAGAAAGGCTATGACACTTTCCCAAAGGTGACTAGACTGGCTTTATTGAGGTAGCTAGCAAATAGGGTGAGAAACAGTGTGCAAAGTTCAGTGGACAGAACTGTTGCTGAAGAGACAACAGGTGGAATGGAAAAAGCTCTGGATTTAAAAGCTCGAAGTTATGAATTTCAGTCTTGACTTTGCCATCCACTGACTGTGTGCCCTTTTCAAGTTACTTAGCCTCTCTGGGCCTCCTTTCCCCTGCTGTAAAATAATATCTGTGGTGCCATCTAGCTTCCTGTTTCTAAATTCTCCATTTATCTTCCAACTAATCCTATTGTCAAGAATTCACCTTTGCTGACAGTGAATAGGTGGTCTTTCACTACTTGTAAGTGGCAGAGCAAGATCTGTAGTCCAAGATGTCTAAATTCCTAATTTAATACCCTTTTTCACCTCCCAGTTGATTTTGAACTTGAGTGGCAGATGGGTCTTGGTCATCCAATTCTTCATGTGATGCCTGCAAGAGATGTATTTTATTTGAAACCATTGATTAAATCATTCTGAAGCAACCAGTTAAGTTAAACTTTATGAGGAGTTCATTTTTGCTCTTAGGGAGCTTGACATTTTATTATGCAGCAAGTGCTGATAAAGATCTGTTATTTGTCTTGGGAGTAGGTGGTGAAGGATATGAAAATGAAAAAAAAACAAAAAACCCAACACCTGTATCCGGCTATAATCTGATACACTTCACAGGAAGGCCACTTTGGAAATTGACATATAGTTTATATCTATATTTTTTTAAATATAAAAAGTGATGTAATTAGGTAGTCCATGGAAACGAAGGTCAGAAAATAATAGTGCAATATTTATATTATATATGCCGTTAAATTAAATCTTGCCAAAAGATTTAATTGTATGATGCCAGAATATGCTAGCTACTGAAGCCTCTTTTTACTAGTTTGTGAGTCCTTGGCCAAATGACTTGATTCTAGCTGCCAAAGAGGGTGATGGTTCCATCAGGCTCACAAGTTTTAAAGGATTAAGTGAGATGCATGTGGAAAACTTGAAGCACACTGGTGGTTGACTTCCATTACTCTTAAAATTTTATTTCAATTCAGGTACCTTGTTTTATGAGATGTTCAGAAAAGTTATGGGCAACTCTAACTTTATAAAATATTTCCATAGGAGCTTCTATTTAGAATGCTTGACTAATTTATATACAAATCATCCCTCCTTCTTTTTCTTTTCTTTTTTTATATATCTGCATTTTTGCATACAACAGTGGGTTTTCATTAAGTGGAGAGAAAGTATATTTGTTAAAATAATCAGTGATATGTGATATACCAGACCAAATAGCTGCCTTTTCCTAACTTGCTTGGGTAAGTCACAACTTTTGTGACAAATCAGTAAAATAGAACCTGCTTAGGCCACATAGTCTTTAAGGTTCTTTCTAGATATGATCTTGGAATTCACTGCTTTATCTGGGAACATCACAGTGGAAAGCCCATGAATTTTTTTAGATCAGGAGCTGCACTTTTTCATGACTTCTTTATAACACTTAGGCACCATAGCAAATGGCAAATTTACTCTTAAATGTAAACGCTAAAGTTGACCTGTCGAGAAAAAAAAAAAAAGAATTTTTTAAACCGTTTTTCCCAAATTGGGAAATAAATTCAGTTTGTTCTTTCTGATTTGTGTACCTATATTATATGGGACCAATAGTAAAATATAAACATATATTGCACTGAGCAGATCCATAGTAATGAATAAGTGCCTGCTCCCCCTCCTTTAAGAAGCTCCTTCCTACCTTGGAAACAAAATATTCATGTATCAACTAACAAGTTGATAGGCAAGGTATTGTGTGTCTTACATTAGGAAAACAATCTGAAACATTTTCTATTTCCCATTCAATTTTTCAATTAAAGGCCTGATGTTGAATTAAATAATGAAGTTTCCTGTATCTAGAAAAAGAAAAGATATGAACTATCTGATCAGTTCATTCTCTTCAAAGTTGCTTTTTTTAAAAAATAAAAATGTGGATTCTTGCCAAAGACAATTCAAAGTAAGAGCAGTTGTTGGCAGTTAATGATTATAATTCTTGGGGAGTAAAGTTAAAAGAACAAAAGATTTAGGGGAAAAAATTAAGTTTTTACTCTGAAGTTTTAAAATGAATTACTCCAGTTAAATATATAGAATTCCCTGAGAGATATACAGTAATATGTGTTCCTAAAAAGCCAAGTAGATTTAGAAAGAAACTTGAGTTATATGAGTACATTAGGGAGATTTAAAAATTATATGGAAATAGAGACCACAAAAAGTAGATTATGAGTTGTCAAAGGACCTGGGGTAAAGAAGGGAGGGTGAGGAGTCACTCATATGCATACAGGATTTCCTTTGGGGAATGTCCTAAAATTAGCTAGTAGCTAAGGTTGCAAGACTAAAAAGCCACATTAAAAGCCATAGAATTGTAACGTTAAGAAGAAGAATAAGGATATATGCAAACCCTGTTACTTTGCCTAGAGGCCCTGAGAAACTTACTCAGCTCAGCTGTGTGGCCCTCAGTGTCTTGAGCAATAAAATGGGCATGCTACTACTTTAACTCCATAAAATAAAGGTAAAATAAAAACATGATGGCCCTTAAAAAATCATAAGGGGCCTTAGTTAGTGACAGAGCCTTTGTGAGGCCCTGGGTGTGAGGGCCTAGGTTTGGATCCCGTAACAACAACAAAACATTAAAAAAATCATCTGAAGAATACACTTGTAAAGTGAATCTTTTTTAAAAAAATAAACTACCTTTTAAAAAATCTTTTGTACATATGCTAATATTCTAGATCACTCTTGTTAAAGTGAGGCATTCCTACATTCATTGGCTTATTTGAGTGAAGGCTGTGATTGGGGCTCAAAGCTGGATGGGATGTGGTCTGTCCTCCAACATTCCCACTGTGGCACTGGGTTCTCACTGTCCATATTTCCCCTTTGTCTCCCTAAGCTGCTGTTGTCTTCCTGAGGGCAGGGATCAGTTGTCATTCACACTGGGAACTCCCTCTAAGCTAGCACCTAACTGTGCATAATCGGTTCTTGATAATGTTCATTAATTGACTTCGTCTGAGCTTTCCATAGAGAGAAGATAGACAGGAAAGCAAGTTTTGAGCTTTTGGGCTCAGTCTTGTGCTTGGCACTTCATTTGTATTTTCTCATTGAATTCTCGCTGCACTAATAATAGATCATTTTCATTGAAGACCTTTCAATATGCAAGACCCTAAGCACTGGTCATCGCTGGTGGTTATGTTTGCCTTTGTCACTCTGGCAAGCACTGTGTTAAGTACTTTTTAGGGAGTGGCTCATTTACTCCCGAGATGAGCAACTAATAGGTTCCCATTTTAAAGATGAGAAAACAGGATTTAGATGGTATGTGATGAAAATGAATCTTGCATGTTAGTCTATACTTTTAACCACTATGGAGCATAGTAGTCTCCAATCCCATGTAAGGGGTCATGCGTCTTACACATGCATGGCCAAATGCACATTCATGCACACTTCAACTCTGGCTGCACATTAGGATCAAGGAAAAACATTTTTTTTAGTACTGGGGATTTAACTCAGGGGCATTTAACCACTGAGTCACATCCCCAGCCCTTTTTATTTTTGAGACAGGGTCTTACTAAGTTGCTTAGAGCCTGGTTGCATTGCTGAGGCTGGTTTTGAACTTGCCATCCTCCTGCTGCAGCCTCCCAAGCCACTGGGATTGTAGGCATGCGCCACTATGCCCAGCCAAGGAAAACTTTTGAAAGTAGATTCCTAGGATCCAGTCCTAGACCAATGGAATCAGAAGTAGGAGAGTGAGCCTCTTAAGGCACATGGGCTTATAAACAGCGGTGGGCTGGAGGGAGTTCGGAAGCACTGTACCAGGGACCATCTAGGTTAGAATTCCTTCTTGGGGCTCTCTTATATAAGATAATGGTTTTAATTAGCTTCTTGAATGAGATAATGATCTTACATACTTATTTATGGATCCCTGCAATGCAGTGTTTGGCCTTGTCTTTTGAATATGAAAAATGCTGAAAGAGACATTGTTGAATGGCATCTAAAATTAGAGATTTCAAGGAAGCCTTCTTAGGCAGTCCAGCTTAGAGCAGTGACAGGTCTGCTTCAGATGGTAAGCCTGACTTGCTGTAAGAATGGCTTATGCCTTAGCTTGTCTGTTTTTGTGCCTGATGGATATCTTTAAGAGTTTGTATATCTTGTTTAATATTATGCTACCAATAGGAAATGGAGTTTTGATAAATAGCAATGTATTAATATGTAACAATACAGTTAAGTCCTGTATTCACTGGCTTTAGGTAAATATCTTTGATCAGGATGAGGAGAAGAATATGAAGTGGTGATTAATGGTAGTAAGGGAAATCTAGATGCTGTTTACTTGGTACTTTTTCCAGTGATCAAGCAGAGCTGAATAGACAAGCTCAAGAAAAACATTAGCATAGCATGTGACTAATTTTCAGAATGCCTCCAGCTGGATGTTAGAAGGAATTTTTCTACTTTGTGAATCTGTTCCCAATGGTCACCGTGGAAGATTCCCCAACTGTTACATAGATCACTGAAGAGGATCAACTGAATTCCACAGACATTTCTTGAGTGCCTAATAGATTTGAAATGCTGTGTAAGGATTGTGGTGAAAGGAACGATAGTAGTCTTTCACAGTTTTATTGTCTTTGACACCAGAACCCTTTTTAGACAATTTTTCTAAATCACCCCTTCACAGATATACTATATTCTGGTTTATGCACAGGTGTGTTTTGTTGTACCTTATACTTAAAAGGGGTAAGATCCCTCCCCCTTCCCAAGAACTAGTTTTTACCCCCTCAGAGACACTATCTAAAATAACGTCCTTATCATCACCTGACCCGATGATTCCTAGTCAAGAGGGGTATATAAACATTCCAGGAGAAAATTCAGCCCCTTTCTGTTCTTGGGTTTTGCTACCTGTGCTGACTCAGCTCCTGGCGACAGGCCTTTTGGATCTCCACCAGAACATATAACCAGTCTCCTGCCAAGTACCAGGAAAGCTGTGTCACAGTTCTGGCAATGGGTAGGGCAGAGCAAATCTCACTCATGGCCTGCTACACCTGGGGATGAATAAATAAGAAATTTTTACACTTTCTGTGAGGTATAATGCTAAAGGTGTGTGATCCATGGTCTCTGAGAGCCCAGGTAAGGAAAGACAGTGGGTAATAGGGATCTATCCTTCTTGCTGTTTTGGAATTATAAATATAAGACCTTAGTGCTCTTTATCTCGGTCTTTGTGCCTTATTTTTCCTTTCTGTTACTCATCACCCAGGAAGCATCCAGGATGTGGGAACATCGTGACATTTGCACAGTTCTTATTTATTGCTGTGGAAGGCTTCCTCTTTGAAGCTGACTTGGGAAGGAAGCCGCCAGCTATCCCAATAAGGTATGACACATAAGTCTCTTTGTTTTGGGTCTTTTTAAAAAGATGAAGAGAGATGGAACCCATAGAAAAGGATTATAAGACATTCTGAGATATATATCAAAGATATCAGTAGAATAATTCATTTTTTGAGTTTAACACATTGCAAAACTCTGGGGAGTCTATTTTTAGGATGAAATTCCTGCCACAACACTTTACATAACTGTGAGGAAGACAATAGTGTGTGCACTTGTGTTTGTGTGTGACTGTCCCTTTCTAAAACTGACTAACCTTGGGGACTATATAGAGGTGTACACAATTTGATAAGTGTACTAAATTCCCCTGAATTGTTCACTTTAAAATGGTCAATATTATGTTACATGAATTTCACCTCAATTAAAAGAAAATGAATAGCAAGTGAAGTCAGAATTGTTGATGCCAGACCTTTGTCCACTAGTCCACACTTGCATAACTGTACTCCTGAGGCCAGATAGAACACAGGGCAGTTCTTACAGTGAACAGTGTGTTGAAGACTCAGCCTTCTTGATGAGTGACTTGAGTGTTATCCATCCAGTTTTGAGTGTTGGAAGAATGGTGTCACTTAACCCGTGGAGAGCAACATTCCCATGTGACTATATCCAGGTACTCAGGTTCACCCTTGTTGGTATTGTTTTGCAGCATTCCTGAACAGTGCACACAGAAAATCTGGCTGAATTGTGTTATATTAAATATCATACTTTTAAATTTCTTGATGTGGGATGCTGTTTTAGTCAGCTTTTTTACTGCTGTGACTAAAAGATAGACAAGAACAAATTTAGAGGAGGAAGAATTTATTTGGGGGCTCTTGGTTTCAGAGGTCTCAGTCCCTAGACAGCAGGCCCCATTCCTTGGAGCGTGAGGTGAGGCAGAACATCATGGTGAAAGAATGTGGTGGAGGAAAGCGGCACCTGTGCCGATCAGGAAGCAGAGAGAGAGTTCCCTTACCAGGGCGAAATATATACCCAAAAGGCATGACCCACCTCCCCCAGCCACACCCTACCTGCCTACTGTTATCCACAGTTAATCCTTACCAAGGAATTAATCATTGACTGGGTGAAGGCTCTCAGAACTCAATCATCTCACCTCAACTTTCTTGCATTGTCTTACACATGAGCTTTGGAGGGACACCCCATATCTAAACCATAACAGATGTTAAATATTCGGAATACTTTTTTTTTGCATTGGCTTTAATATCTTCATAACACTTCTGCTCCTGCAGGCCAGCATGTACCCTGCACTAGGAGCCCCAGTGACTTTTTACTTCTTTGGCCTTTCCTGCCTCTTCCCACTGTCTCTTCCCATCACCTCAGCCATTTGCGTGGATTAGGAGCGTATTCCGTGTCACCATAACTTTTAAGTATCCAGCTGACTGATCTCCCTTCCGCCCACTTTTGTTTATTCCTGTTTTACTTGTACCATTTCATTGTGGCACTTCTTGCTCAGTGGTTGTCATGATGTTCAGAATGAATTTCAACCTCCCCAGCCTGTCCTTGAGACTCCCATGATCTTCCCCCAACAACCACACTCCCATGTGTGTCCTGTTTGTGATAGCTATTTTATTTTCGGTTGTGAAACCATAATCAAAGTTTTACTCATGTAATTCATCCTCATAAGTGATTTCTAGGCAGTGCTAGGTCAGCAGCCATGTGGAATAATTGAGTTAAGTATCCTGAAACACCTTGATGAACTCTTCTTGCCTCCCAAAGGCATCTCTTTAAGACAAGACTGAGAAAATTGTACAAGAAGCCTTGCAAAATCACTAATATATAGTATTAAAAGGTTGTGAAGAAACAGTTGCTAGTGATTTTGTGTGTATGTGTCACTGTGCTCTACGTTCATTGTTAAGCTTCTCAAACTTTCCAGGCTATGTTAATTTAGCCTTAGGCTTTACTGCTATTGTGATGTATAGAGAGCTCCATATCTAACCAGCAATGTATAATAGGTTCTTGTTAGAGAAGATAACTTGGAACAACTCTCTGTTGTTATATCTCCACATGTGCAGAGGTGGAAATGGACAACATTTCATGAAGAACATGGAATCACTTATTTACCTTTGCCATGCATTCTTTAGTCATTGATTTTAAATATTTCTCTTATTGAATGGGTTCAGTTGAATCATGAAATTGCTAATGTTCAACCCTTTTTGAATTACAAAAAAACCATGGCAATTTAATATGGTTTAATATATATATATATGAAATTTATGTACAGTGAACCAATACAGTAATATTATCTATTCACTTAGAAAAAGCCTATTGATATCTATTAACATTTTAAAAGTTTAGTTTTAAATGGCCACGTATACTTGAAAAAATAATTTCTTTAAACATATTCAGTAATTCAAACTTTTCCCATATTAGTCTGACTTTGTATTTTTATACATACATAATATTTGACTTCAGATGATAATAGTGATAGTCTTTTAATGCAAAGGAAACAAATTCTTTTTAGACTAAAATATAGATTTCCTTCTATACTTAATTTCTGGAAATAACAGATTCTGTGATTTGCTGTTCTTTCTGTATTTCAGGTACTATGCTGTGATGGTAACCATGTTCTTTACTGTCAGCGTGGTGAACAACTATGCCCTGAATCTCAACATTGCCATGCCCTTGCACATGATATTTAGATCTGTAAGTGCTGCCATGTGCATGTTCCTCTGAAAAGCATAAAAAAGTAGTAGGCTGACTATGTAGCAAAAGTAGAAAGGTCTTGTAATAAGTCTTTGGTCTTGGGTATAAGAAAGTAGGTTTGTGAATGTGTGAGCAAGGATGGCTTTCACCAGAGAAGGAAGGCAAAAAGAAAGAAATGTGAAAGTGGACAGTTAACTTATTTTTTTGAAGTCTAATGGGTGATTATTAAAAAGAAATTAAAATTTCCCTGGGAAACAGATTTTACCTTCAATTTTCTTCATCTGGTTGATTTTATATTCAAACTTACTATTAATGTTATTTAACTTATTTCTTTTTTATCACTTAGTGTTTTTTCTTTTTTTTTAATATTTATTTATTTATTTTTAGTTGTAGTTGGACACCATACCTTTATTTTTATGTGATGCTGAGTATCAAACCCAAGGCCTCGAACATGCTAGGCAAATGCTCCACCGCTGAGCCACAGCTCCAGCCTTAGTGGGTTTTTTTTTTTTTTTTTTTTTTCCCATTAAAAAAAATTACATTTACTTCTGTTACATGAAACAGATACAGATTGAGTATACCTTACCCAAAATGCTTGTGACACTAGTGTTTCCAGGTTTGGAATATTTGCATATACCTAAAGGGATAGTGTAGGTTGTGGAACCCAAGTCTAACCACATAATTTACTTATGTTTCATATGTACCTTATACACATAGTCTAAAGGAAATTTTATACAATACATTTAATGATTTTGTGCATGAATCAAGGTTTGGGGCATGGGATTATCTACTTGTGGCGTCATGTCAGCACTCAAAAAGTTTTGGATTTTAGAACAGTTCAGATTTTCAGATCAGGAATGCTCAAATTGTACTTCTCTTTTCTAATTTTTTTTCATCAAAAACTTGAGCTAATAAAGGAAAATTTTTGTCAAAGGGAATTTTTCCCAAAGTAGTACAAGTTTTCTTCTTTTCCTAATGTATAGTGGGAGATCCATGTGTGGTTTGTATATAAATAAGAACAGAGTATGCCCAGAAGAGAAGGGAAGACTTCAAGGGTCATGTAGGTAGGATTGCAAAAGACTGCAGAATGGGTGGTGATGACTGGAATGATAGCATTTCTGGGTGGCCTGAGATTTTTTGTGACATTGAATGTGCTATTTCTGAATGTAAATATTAATTATAATTATTAAGATGAACTTTAACACATAGTAGACTTTAATAAACACTTGCTGATTGATTGACATCTTTCCAGAGTGGGGAGAGAGATCCTTGTATGACTTCTTTCATTAAAACTGCAGGTGAGAAGAAGCTTATTAAAAGTCTTAGAAATTAGATGGAAAACTGGACAAAAAGAAGTCTATTAAATCATTTATTCCTATTAGTCATAACTTCTGTGACCAGTTATTGAGAATTGATCATTTTTGTTCTCATTATTAGCTCGTTACTGTTTAACATGAGAGATCGTTGTGCTCTATACTTTTTGCTGCCATAGAACATCTGGACCTTATTAATTGTTTATCCATCCTCCTTCATTCCATGTTTCCCCCCTTGTACACATTCATATTCATTTTGAGTTATTTTCTTTCCCTGGTGCACTCTTTTTGTTATTCTTGTTTCCTTTTTACAGGGCTCCCTCATTGCCAACATGATTCTGGGAATTATCATTTTAAAGAAAAGGTAAACAACACCCTTCGTATTTTATGTATAGAAGTGATATTCTGAGCCACCATCCCTGGGCTTATCATCTGGATTCTTTTTCCCTTTGTGGTTGTAAGTTTGCTTTTGGCCATCTACCTTTTTTCTTAGTTCTTTTTCTAAAAATGGTGCACAATGATATAGTTTCCTGAGGCAGTTGGCCAGGTGAGTGGGCTAATCTGTGATTTTGGAGTAGTATCTTCTCTGAGTTGATTAACTCTTGTCATGACTAAATCTATGGTACCATATGTACCTATTAAACCAATAGAGCTTCACTGTGTAATATGGTTACCACTAGTCATCTGTGACTATTTACACTTAACATCTAAATTTAATTTTTATTTATTACATTTATTTTATTTATTACATTTCATTTTAATTTTTTTTTAATCCTTCCCTGAGGCTTTTGCTTGATCACCAAAAATCTGAAAGGGATAATAATGATGCTATTTTAGTTAATGTGAAATGTCGCTATTACTATCGCTCATCGTTCTATAAATTGAAAATTCTCTTTGTCCAACTGTGCCAACATTCAAAAGCAACATTTAAGTTATTCAGAAAGTTTAAAAATAATACCATCCTCAGAGAATGTTCAATTTAATCATTTTCTGAGCATTGAATGCTGCTACTGGTACCTGATGGTCTATTCTTCCTCTTTGGTGGTGTGTGTCTTAGGACTCAGGTTTGAGTTCTATAAAGACAGGGAAAGCCACCGAGCCCAGTTAAGACTGGCCAGGCTCCCTATGGACTCTTGAGAGCAGAATGCAGTGTCATGCCTGGTCTGTGTCTGTTTCTATTTTTGTTTCCTGATGCAGCAATCTGTTTATCAACAAACTGTTGGAAACAAATTATTTTAACCACCCCAGGGAAAATGTTTAGGAACCAGTCAGTACCCTGATTCCTTCATGTACCTGCCTGTGTGGACTCTGCTGGAAGGTCACATTTTAGTGATTTGTACTTACATACCCCATTGACTATAAATGTCATTTGGAAATGTGTTTTCCTGTGTTTTGTTTTTATTTTGCAGATACAGTATTTTCAAGTATACCTCCATTGCCCTGGTGTCTGCAGGGATTTTTATTTGCACTTTCATGTCAGCAAAGCAGGTGGTAAGAATCAGCTCACAAATCATTTATATTCACTACTTGCCATTGGGACCTGGTTACCAGACACTCAATAATAAAACAAATTAAAACTTTTGTAATGTAAGGATTTGAGTCTCTGCAAGAGAGGAATGGAGGGAAATGGATAGCATAAATACTTCCCTTGTCTCTCTTGCATGTTGCATGTGATTCTGGTCTCTGTATCTCTGTATTTTCTTATTTCCTAGACTTCCCAGTCCAGCGTGGGTGAAAATGATGGATTCCAGGCCTTTGCATGGTGGTTACTAGGCAAGTACAGTAATTACAATAAAGCTAGTTGCCTCTGAAGTTGTGTTTGCTTAGTTTTCTCCTAAGGGAAGTGTTTCTTGGCAAGAAGCTTCAGCTAAAAAAAATTATGCCCTGGAAGAGAGGGGATCCTGTATTTCTAAACCTTAGCATTCAAGAAATGAAAAAAAAAAAAAAAAAAAAGTCCACATTTGTGGCAGAGTGCTGGACAACATGGATCTATATGTTTCTTGGTTGCCACTGGCCTTGAAAGAAAAGTGTGTCTACTTGCCTGCCTAGCATGCTCTGAGAGCAGTGCGTGGGCTGTCATCCATTTCTTCATGATCCATCTGCTGAGTAAAAGCATCTGCAAAAGAAGGGCACATTAACCAGTTGACTCTTCAAATTTCCAAGGGACCCATTTCTAAATCTTAGATTTATATTCTTCATAGGTTAGCTGTTCCAGATGGCAGTGTTCCCGAATCTAACTGATCATCATAATCTCCTGGGAATTCTTTTTTTCTTAAATACAAGTATCTCTTTGTAGAATTAATTAGAGAACTCCTAGAGAGCCTTGTTCTCAACACTGTCTGATTTGGAGGGAAACTCTTTCCATGTACTTTCAGTAATAACAAGAACAGATTGAGACTGACAACGTGGAAGGGAAGTAGCAATAAAAGACTGTGGTTCTCTTTTCTTTGAATTTTATCCCTTTAGGTTGCTATTCTTAACATAGAAAGATCTGTATGAGCTATGAGAAAAATACTTTACCTAATGAGAAAAGTTTCCAAAGGATATGAGTATACAATTCATGGGGAAAATTAATAAATGATAATTTTATGTTAAGCTTCACTAGTTTGTTCGTCAAAGAAATGAAAATTAAAACCAAAATACAATACCTTTTTACTTTGTCCTGTCATATTGGCAAAATGATAAATGATTATTTTCATTGCTGCGAGGGTACAGAATGACAAAACCATTTTCATATAAATGATTAGTTTAAATTGACACAGCCTTTCTGGAAAAATATTATATATTGAGTTTTTAAAATGTCTTCAACCTTTGATTCGGTAATTCCATTTATATGTTTATTCTAAGGAAATAATCAAAATGTTTAAAGGTTTGTGTACAATGATACATATTGATTTCAATGATGAGGTAATTGGAAATAATCTAACCATTCTCCCTGAAAGACATTTAAGGGAGAATGGTTAGATTATTTCTAATTAGATTAGATGGTTAGATTATATCCAACCATGTGATAGAATAATATACAGTCATTAAATCACAATTTTGAAAAAATTTAATGAAGGACTTGAAGAAAAATGTGAGAAAACATCCCAAGAAAAGCAAGATATTATATCGTGCATGCAATCTCATCCCATGTTAGAATAAAAATATATGCATTAGATATAGAGAGATGTAGAAAATAAAAGGTTAGATGGTGATATTGTGGTTGATTTTTACCTATTTTTAAAATGTTGTACATGTTCTACATTTAGTTTATAATATCTGTAGAACTGTAAACAAGCAATAAATGTTCTTTGAGGAAACATCTGAAAATGAACAAATGCAGGCCATCTTGTAACCCAGTGTTTGTGTCTTAGGCATCGGGGCACTGACTTTTGCTCTTCTGATGTCAGCAAGGATGGGTATATTCCAAGAGACTCTCTACAAACAATTTGGGAAGCACTCCAAGGAGGCCTTATTTTATAATGTAAGCAACTTCTTATAGGTGGGGAAGGTAGAAATTCCTGCATTATAGTGTGTTATTTCAAGTGAAAGATGCCATCCTTCTGATGTCATTAAAAAGCCTTGAGACCCAGAGACTGAAGTGCTTTTGTGAGAGAGCTAGTGCACATTCTGAGCCACAGTTGCCTACATAAGACAATCCTTATCAGCCAATGTGAATGAAACATCTGTTAGGCAGGAGCAACCTCCAGGGACAAAGCACCCTAACCTGCAACATTCTTGTAGATGAAATCGAGTTAAAACCAATATGGAAATCCTGAAAAGGAAAACCAAGTTCCAAGAGCAACAAGCAAGGGAATTTGTGCAGGCAGGCATCTGTGGTGTAGTTTGGGGAGGATGGGGTGGAGAGGCATAAGTCCCCCAGATGGGTTTTATTCACTTAATAGTTTAATTATTATATGTGCTTTGTTTTGAACTGTCACTTCCTCTAACTTTCCTCCTCTTCTTCCCTCTTGGCTATTGAGATACCCTCAGAGCATAGCCAGTCCCTTAAGCTGAGAGTGAGGCAGTTGCCCTCATGCAGGTAGCCAGGGATTCTTTCACTGCTGACTTTTTGTACTGAAGTTGCAACCAAACATTTTGAGATATTTAATTGGAGCCAGGGTTCGTGGCTGGGAATTTTAAAACTTAAACATTGTGTTTGGTTCATATCTCCAATGCCAGGCATATGGTAACTGCTCAGTGAGTGTTAGGTGTGACTCGTCATTACTGATGGGCAGGGTGGGGGCTGTTGTCGAGCACCTTCGTCATTGTTGGCCTATCATATCTTTTTTTCTCTTCAGCCCCTTCTAATTTTTACCTTCATTTATTTTTCCCTGATTTTGGATTGTCCTCAAATCTCTTTCCCACTAGCTTTCTGAATTCCCTGAAATCTGCCTCTGTATTCTTTATAATTCTTAGATCCATTGTTTGCTTAACCTTTCTCAAAAATAAATAAATAAATAAATAAATGTGTCAAATCCTTTTGGACTGTTTTTAAGCTTCCCCCTTCCCTTTTGTTGAGGAAAGGATGCTGGCTCCTTTGCTTTTATCTGTGCATGATGCCAGGTGGAGGCACTGATACTTTTAACTTAGTCTAACTTGCTTTTCTTTATATTTTCTTTATATTACTTATCAAATAATTTGTACAACTTTCAATTACTGTTTTGTATGTTCTTGCACTTAACTTTATATGACCCATTTCTTCCCACAGCACGCCCTTCCACTTCCTGGTTTCATCTTCTTGGCCTCTGATATTTATGACCATGCAGTTCTATTCAATAAGTCTGGTGAGTTTAGGATTATATGATAGAATTACATACCAGTTTCTGAGGCAGAGTCTCAGTTTTGCTTTTGATTTGACCATAATTTTTTTCATTATTAGTTAAATCATCCGTCCCTTCCAAAACTATCTTCCTCCAACCTTTCAGGAATATAAATGGTACTATTAATTAGTAGTTGTAGCAGCAATAGCTTTCTGTAGGCACTTCTCCATTTTTTGCAAATTAAGTAAGAAAATATCTTCACGTTTCTATTTTGCTTTGGAATTTGCGTGTTTGCCTTTGAATCGAGAGGTTTTGGGAATACAAACAACTAGTAGCCACACAGAACAGAGATCTGCACCCTGCAGGTTTGGGCAGCAGTCCAGCTCTCTCTGGTGCTGCTCATCCTTTTCTACTGTGAATGGCAGAGCTGCTCATGGATGCAAGCTGCCTTGGTGCCAAGCAAGATGGGCGTAGGATGGTGGCAGGGCTTGTTTCCTAGTGACCGGTTAGATAGGCAACAAGAATAAGCAAATTAGTTTCAAGTGTCTACAGTATAAATGTAAAGTGGCCATTTGATTAATTAGCTATAAATTGTCAGTCAACTTGAAGGAAACTACTGTGTGATCTGATTATCTACTAATGATATCATCATACAGACAAATGAGCACACAGGGAACAAACGGCATTTAAAATCAGGCTTTATGTTGCATATACCTTGAATGGTAAGTGCATTCTATAGCCTGGCCTTAGGGTCTCATCGGAGCATGAGTTCCAAAATTAGGTCTGCTCTCTGCATGACAGTGTTATAACTGTGTTATCTCTCTCATTTGGCCAAATATATATAATAAAGGTAATAGTATATAAGAAAGTTGGAAAGTTTCTGAATAAAAGAACCACTTCCGATTATTAACAACATAGTTTTGAAGACCTCTGAGAGTCCCCTCAGAGCAATAACTCTCGTGGCTGTTATTAACCATTAGAATCAAGGCAGGTAAATTGATGGGAGGTCCAAACCTACTGGCAAGTGAAATAAAGCTGCTATTTCTATAATCATTTATTTATATTGCCTTTTCGAAAGATGAAAAGTTTAGCTATCAAAAAGTGATCTTGGGGTCAGGTGTGTAGCCTAGCTAGCATGCCCAAAGCCCTGGGTTTCCAGTACCACAAAAAAAAAAAAAGAAAGAAAGAAAAGAAAAAGAAAAACTAGTGTGACCATATCCTCTCAATCTTTGCAGAACTCTATCAAGTTCCAGTTGTCGGTGTGACAGTGCCCATCATGTGGTTCTACCTCCTCATGAATGTTATCACTCAGTATCCTTTTGATTTCCCATATATATATATGGTTTCTTCATGTTATTTTGGCCTAGAATGTTTATTCTTTTCTTCTAACAGGTGTGGAGACATGAGTTTGGTTTTTTTCCTTGATTTCTTCCTGTAGGGAGCAGGAAGCAGAGAGACATATTCAGGGAGTTCCTTTGCAAAGGGCAAAGGGACAGTGGTGCAATGGATCATTAAGTCTCAGGGAGCAGGGAGGAATGTGCTGGTGGAGTGAAGGAGCCCACTGGTTAAACACTAGTCTATGGCATGGACAGTTTGTGATTTTTTGCCCAGGCTTTTCTAGTATTCCAAGATATTTCCAATTATCACAAGTACCCCCAAGCTTTGAAAGAAATTTCAAATTAGTCAAGACTCAGTTTTTTTTTTTTTTTTTTTTAAAGAGAGAGTGAGAGAGAGATAGAGAGAGAATTTCAATATTCATTTTTTAGTATTCGGCGGACACAACATTTTTGTATGTGGTGCTGAGGATCGAACCCGGGCCGCACACATGCCAGGCGAGCGCGCTACCGCTTGAGCCACATCCCCAGCCCAAGACTCAGTTTTTTTAAGTAATCATTTTTAATGACCTTAAGTACCTTTTAAAATCTGTTAACTCTTTGAAGTAGTGAAACAGTTTGATTTGACCTCAATCCTCTGAAATCCTAAAAGTTCCTTTTTGGAGGAGGGTGCACAGAAGCTGAGGACAAGACAAAATAAAGGGAGATGGGATCAGCCTTACTGAGAATGTTGCCCTTTTGTTATCTCAGAGGCAACCTTGGTTGTAAACCACAGGAAACCTCCAGAATAATAATGGGAGATCTTGAGGTAGTTTCCATCTGAGATCTATAAATGGAATGGCAGAACAGGAACTCTGCAGGATGTTCTGCTGAGGAGGGGCCATAGAGTGCTGTGATAGACCCTCCTATTTTCTTAGAAGGTGAAAATTTAAGCCAAGAGCCATGCAGAAGTTCCCCCCACTGGCCTCCCAAGTGCAGTTTACAGAAAACAACCTTAACTCCATTCCAGGTACGTGTGCATCCGGGGCGTGTTCATCCTCACAACAGAGTGTGCCTCCCTCACCGTCACGCTTGTTGTGACTCTACGCAAGTTCGTGAGCCTCATCTTTTCCATCCTGTACTTCCAGAACCCTTTCACTCTGTGGCACTGGCTGGGCACCTTATTTGTCTTCATTGGGACCTTAATGTACACAGAGGTGTGGAACAACCTAGGAACCACAAAAAGTCAGCAGCAGAAGGTCGACAAGAAGAACTGACATCTGCCTGGAAGATGACTAGTGTTGTGTGCAGGAGGCCTCCGCCCTTTTGCTTTGGTTAACACTGAATCACCCCCAGGATGGAACCAGACATACCCCAGGGATTACTGAGAAGGAGGGGACGTTTTCCGTTTCTCATGGCCATCCAAACAAAGTTTGTAGACTCTGAATAGACATCCCTTAACCCTAAAAATAGGAAAAAGAGTAGTTCTGTATTATCACACAGATCATTCGTTATTTGTTTACCAGAATATTCAGAACTGTGCTTGTTTGTTAAATTCCAAGTCCCTAGAGCTGTGAGTCTTATATCTGTGATCTCAGACAAGATCATGCCTTTGTTACTGTTCTGACATTCTCTGCCATAATAATCATTTGTTATCCCGTCCCCTTTTTCTCCTGCCCCCCCCCCCATTCTTCAGCAGCACTTTGCAGTCTGTCAGGTACTCCAGGCACCATCTTCCACTGAACAACTGAGTGGCCCAGCAAACTCTGAGCCCTGGTGACACTGGAGCGTACTGGCAAACCCCCTTTACTACATTTTGCTTTTTTCCCCCATATGTAAACACTTGTTGCAGCCCGATGGCGTCTCACAGCATGATGTCTATTTCTCTCAGTGCAAATACCTCTGCTGGTCTTATTATTATAGGATATTTACGGACAGATACCAGGTCAGAGCACAATAAAATGAGTGCTCAGAAAGCTGAAGGCCTGCACTGTGTGAGCTAGGTTTTCTCTCTGGCGGTTGGATATAAGGAAATAGATAAAACAGCTACCAGTTAATACTCTTTAAAAATAATTTATTACCCTTAGTTAACTGATTTTTCAATCCAGGTTGAAACTTTTTTTCAACATTTATTAAAAGGGCGAATAAACCATTTTATAGAACATTAGACTCATTTACAGCAGGAGACATCTCTTAAATGCCTTTCTCATTGTCTGTGAGGACTATATAATTTGTGCTTCAGAGAAACATAGTTTGTTTATAAAAATAATTTAGTGTTTAAGATATCCACAACTCTACCCCAAAGCACAAATCAAATAGCAAAGGACACTAGCCAGACCGTGTAAGGTGTGGCGCCTACGTCCTCCTATAGCAGCTTGCCTGGTATAATAGATGAGTAACAGGAGACGTGGTCTTGGGATTATATTAATACCTGCATATATCCTTTACCAAGATTCTGTTACTATAAATGCTGTCTTTTTTCATTGTTTTGTAATTTATTTTTTTATCCTTGGATCAAACCCAGGCCTTATCCATATTTTTTACTTTATTTTTCATCCAACTAAACCATTAATACACTTGATGAGTTTATGTCGGTTCTAATGTGTTCAGACACAATCCCAGCAGTCAATGCTTTCTTGTTTTTGTTTTTGTTTTCCTTTTCCCTTCTTCCTACCCAGTTGACTAAGACGAAATGCTGCAGTACTTTAATTTGGTCAGTGCTAGAAGTGAGGAAAGCAAGGACGGCTGAGCTGATCCATGCCACCTGTAAGCCACCTCTTGTAGGAAGATGATGTGGTATTTTTACAGGATTCTAATAAATGTCTTGTGGTCATTTGCTGAGCACGTTCTCATTTTTTTTTTTCATTCACTTTCTACTTTCCAGTTTCTTCACTGAAGCCCCTTTCACATGTGTTTTCTACTGAGCAATACCTATAACTGCATATCTATTTATGCCTCTATTTTGGGAGGCCTCTGAGTGTTTTTGTAGATTTTTACAGGGTATTTCTACCTGGGTAGCGTGTATTTTGTTATGCATTCTTATTGTTTTTAAGGAAAGGCATCTGTACAGGTGAGAAGCTGGCAAAATATATGACTGTAGATAAGTACAAACTTGAAGGTTAGTGTGGAAATGTTTGCATGCTCAGAGTGGGGCTGAGATCTTGACCCGCAGACAGAGGGCTGTCTTTGGAAAACAATAGTTTTATTTGGCTCTTTTTACCCTAAACTTTGGCTGGCCTCACTCAACAAGGTCAGAATTGTGGAGAGGAGAAGTGAAAACTATTTGACTAGGAATAACCCTCAACCAGTGAATTGGCTTTGGATGTGGGCCTGTTCGCCAGTGGTCCAGTTGGCATTGACCTAAACAAATACATAAATACACACGGAGAAGAACCACATTATGGACATCCAAAAGCAAGATCCTGAATTTGTTGTATTTTGTGTATCTTTGGCTTGGAGGGAAAGAATTATGAGAATTTGCCATTATTAGATAATCAAAGCATTTTGGTATCAGTGGCTTTCTGCTGAAAAATGTGACTGACTCTTATTGAAGGCATTTCACTGTTAGACCGAGAGAACTGTCAGTATAGATAAAATGCATTCTGTATTACTCTTGATTGGAGTGATATTTGAAAATGAGTATAAGCAGTATTTGTAACCACAGGAACTAGTCATAAGCCTTAGAATATGTTAGATATGTCCTTAGAATATGTTGGATATGTCCTTAGAATATGTTGGATATGTCCACAGCTGGGACAGGAGCATGGGCTTCTCAGCCTTGTTGTGTGTTCTTTCTTTCCAGCATCTTCCTCACTGTAGACATTCCAGGGCTGGGAGAGGCCTGTGATCTGATTCATTCCTGTATTGCCAGCCCCTGGCATAGGGTCTGACTTGTATTATATTCATTCATTCAATGAAGGCTTGTCGAGATCTCTTCCTCAAGTTTTGAGAAATGGTTCCTGACACTTGCTCCACTCTTCAGCTAGTTGGGAAGTAAGACAGTAAGGGAAAACATTCCAGAGGTTTGAGCAGAAGAAAGGAAGGAGGGATGTTGGGAGATTATATAGCACGTAGCCTGCTACCCAGCCTTTTGCTCTCTTGAATGCCTGGTGGTAAGAGGGAGAACAATATATATCTAGCACCTTACATATCTGGTGCTCAGGAAGAAAGTAAGAAGATACCTAGCAGAGCAGTAAAGGTTTCTGAGGTTTTGAATGGTTGCCTTGGGTAACCAGCTCCGCCCTCATGTCACCTCCCCTGGTGCAGTGTGTATTAGCTGCCGCTAGTAGAGCATCTTTATCTGTCTATTCTTGGTGTCATGCTGAGACTTTTCCTGCTTAAACCACTACCCAAAGGCAGGCTTCAAGGGAACCAAAGACAGGAGCAAAAAGAAAGTTTGGCCTGCCTTAAAAGAAACGAGGCCCAGAATTAAGAAGAGTCATAATGATTCCTTTGACACACAGAATTATTTATATCTTTTAAGATACAGTGAAGATCCTGTGAACCAAAGAGGGTGGCAGCAGTTATACCCCTGCATCCTAAAAAAAAAAAAAAAAATCTTTGTCACATTCACAAGTCATGTCATTGCTGTGCTAGTTGCTTTCCTTCCAGAGGATGGCCTCATCCTCCAAAGAGGATGATTAGACCTACACTTTTCCTTATAAACTACAGGGTGGGGAGGGGCAGCAAAGATTTTCTGTGTTCAGCCTCTGAGCCCTTCATCGATGTTACATCTTCAGAACAAAGATCGGGGTTGGGGGTGGCAGCTGAGTTTGTACAGCAGCCAAAAGACATTAGTGCGTATTCAGACTTGGAGCTGTGTAAATAGCAAACGTCGCTCCCAGCCTTGCCAGCTATTTGAACAGAGAGCTACGGAGGAAAGGGAAAGTTTGTGAATAAAATGTTTTGCCAAACTGAATGAGTCTTTTTACCGCCAGTTATTGTAAAGGGCCTTTTTTTTTTTTTTTTTAACCTTCTGAAACAACTCATCAGACATTTGGTTTTTATCTTGGATTGTATGAGCATTGTTTCTTAATAAAAGTGCTACATTTCCTGCAGGTGTTTCCAATCACCATTACTTTTCAAGGGCCCACAGACGCTTTCAACGACTCTCCAGCTTTTACCTTGTAAGGTGGTGGCAGAATTTTTACTGTGAGCCATTGTCAACAGCCTGTCTTCCTAAGGCATTGTGGCACAGCTGGATTGATAAGAGGTCACTTCTCCAGCTACACTTCTGTTTCTGCTTCAGAAATTTCAAGTAGATCAGTCTACTTTTTTGGATTTCTAGAGATTCACAGTAGTAAGTTTCTTGTGGCCGGTCTCTCCAAACTGCTTTGTGTGAGTAGGCCTGTAGGTTGACTTTTACAGTGCAGCAATGGCCAGCTCTATTTTAATATGCCACTATTGCACACAAAAGCCACTCTTAAAGCAGTTTTCCACACCATTTATTTTTAATTATGGTTTACTATAGCCTCCATGTACAGAACAGGAAGAGAGAAAAATAAATGAAACATTTGGCACTAGCTGTAGCAAAATTAAAATTCATCTCCTTAAGAATTGCAACACACTTATCAGAGGGACAGGGCTGGATGTTCCTAAGCAGCTCGGAGCCTGTAATTGCAAGGTGGAATGGTCTCCAATTCTTGAGTCAGACCTAGTGCATGTTGGACTTTAAAATGTTACAGATTGCAAGCCTGAAGAAAAGTGAGAGGCCAAGTTATGGCTGAGTTCAACTCTTTAGCAAATTGTATAATCTCATCAGTGGAGCAGTGATCTGGTACCTGCAATAAAATACGATTGCAGATAATGCAGCAATATATCCACCCAAGATACCTTTCTTTAATAAAAGCTATAAAATGTTGGTGAGTATCAGTAAAGATCCGATTTCTTTGTACTCTTATCTTCAAGCACCCATCAAAAATGAGTACAGATCAGTAACTTGAATATGTGTGCACGTCAAAATTTTTCTTTTAAAAAGGAAAAATAAACATCTGGCTATGCAAATATTTGTTAATAATCAAAGCTTTTCAGTGATGTTCTTTATCTTAAAATTAATAAAATCGTCTCATTAAAATTAAGTTATTTTAATGTCTAGTTGTTTCTTAATCAGCACTTTAAGGATCTGGCATATGGCTCCATTATTACATATGACTCCATGATGCACAAATGCATTCTGAAGCTAAATAAGCTTATGATTATAATTACTGGAATTTATTATTTCCTGTAATAGCTCTGAATGGAGCTTACAGCATGAACACACTCCTTTCATGAAGGTCGTACATCTATATTCATTTTCCAGAATCTTTACCATTGTTAAAATAATCTGGTTCATTCCAGAATTGAATGAAATGATACAGTAATAATAGTAAATATATATTTACTGTGTGCAAGGCGTTTCACTTAATATTAACTTATTTCACCCTTCAAATCCTTGATGTAAGGGAATTATCCTGTTTTATAGATGAGACTGAACACAGAGGAGATACCTAACTTGCTCAGTGGCTCATAAATGCTAGCGCTGGGATTTGAACCTTCAAAGATGATTCCAGAATTTGTAATCACTGCATGATGCTACCCCTAAAATCTCCTTAATGACACTATGCCATCTTCCTTTCCTTTTCCCTGTGTGGTGTAGGTGTATGCCGAATGCCATTATGAAGTCTTGGATGTATCTTCTTACCATATTGTTTCCGAAGAGCTAGTGAAGAAAAAAAAAAACCCAGAAAATTGGTAGCAAAACGACTCAGAACTAGTTGTGGCTCTTAGATGTTCACATCAGAATGTGAACATTACGCCTGGTAACTGGAGCATGGCTTTCAGGTTAATCAACAATATCAAATGTACAGTATGGAAAGAAGTAATTACATCCCAAAGCCTTTATCAATGATTTGCTTAAGTAGCTGTAATTTACAGCATGTTTAATGTATGTCTTTACTGTTTTTGTAGTTACATCTCCAAGTTCTGTCCCAGAAAACATTTAAATTCTGTTCTCTCATCTACTTGGATAAATGCCATCTCTAAATTATACTTTGATAATAAACCTTCAATGTTATGCAAGGATACATCCTTGCGGTGATTCACTATCTTTGGCACAAATGGGGTTTAATGCATTATCCATTATTCACTAGATTGCCTAATATCCTCCATTCAAACAAGAGTCAATGTTATAGTACTGCTCAAATTTTAGTTCTAGAATGTCTCTGCAGATGTGTTTGCATATGTAATCTTGTCACAAAATGAAAACTGTTGACCCTTTTATACAAATTTTATTGGGATTATGTTGAACTGCATGTAGTGGAAACCCAAGCTGGGGTAGCCTCAATCAAATAGTACTTATCCTCAGAACGTAGCAGGAATCCTGTTTTCCCTTGAGAGCCAGGATCAATTCCCTAGCAGTGACCATAATTTTTCTCTTTTCCTGTTGTGTCAGTGGCATAGAAGGCAGATGAGACCAGATGATAGTCTCAATTCCCTTCTCAAATGAACCCTCACTGCATTCCTGGGTGATGGATGGTGTTCCTCCCTTGAGAATTGAAGTTTCTAGACAATCAGCAATTCAAGCTGTGGACATGAGAAATAATAGTTTTTCACCTGAGTTACTGGGGGTAGCAGCAAGAAGCCACTTGACTCCTACCTCCTAATTTTTGGACCCCGTTTTCTCTGTAGGGTGGAAAGTTCCTATCTTTCTGCTGCTGTTGTAGCCATATTTTGTAAGGCAGCAAATTTTCATTGACCTTAAGGTTCACCTACATTCAGAAAGAACCTGGCAAACCAGGATACGTCAACTTTTTGTCAACTTACCAGCATATTTTTTTTTCCTGACTGCTACATGAACAAGGCCT